AATCCAAACTTTAGTGAAATTTCCCATGAACTAGAATTCCCCCCCAGCTTCATTTCAGAAACACTGAGGTGTTCATGAAAGGAAGTCTTCTTCCCTGGCTGGAGAGCTGCTGAATGAAATTGATGTTCTTGTCAGTTTCATAGTGGCTAAGAGCAGACAGGAAGCTGACAAAAATGTCAATTCCACCTCTCAGTTGTGGGGGCTCCCAAGGTCTGCATCTATGGGAAGTGCAATACACATGATGGGGCTGCCCCGAGCTGCAGACCCTGGGAGCTCATCCTAGGCTCCTGGCTCAGGGGCAGGGAGCCTGTAATGGCAAGTCCTGTGTCTCTCCAGCTTCCCGGACTTTCGGGGGGAGGCAGAGCACTGGGGCTGTTCAGCTCCTGGTGCTGGCAGGGAGGTTGAGCACCCAGGCATTGTGCTTTGGCTGCCCTCCGAAAAAGGTTTTCTCAATTTCCATAGCAAAAAGTGAACCCGACGAGAGCCTGCCGTGTGACTGGCCTGCTAGTCCAAGCATAGGAAGCAGACTTTAGAAAGATGCAGGGATGTGAGCTGGAGAAGATGGCAGGGTTCAGTAAGATTGGAGCTAGCAGAGTATAGAGCACAAAGGGCTTGTGGTGGGAAACCAGGGCAGAGGGGAAGGTATAGAGCCTGGGATGTGAGGTACAGATTTTGAACCAGATGTGGAAGAAGAGCAGAATCCCTCCACTGGCATCAGGTCTGAGGAGATGCATCCGTAGTGTTAGCTTACAACGCTTGTTTTACATTCTGACCGAGGGATCCATATCTGACCTCCTGTTTGGAGGAATACCTATTTTTCCTTATGAACATAAGAATGGCCATACTGGGTCAGACCAAAGGTCCATCCAGCTCAGTATCCTGTCTCACGACAGTGGCCAATGCTAGGTTTCCCAGAGGGAGTGAACTTAACAGGTAATGATCTAGTGATCTCTCTCCTGCCATCCATCTCCACTCTCTGACAAACAGAGGCTAGGGACAGCATTCCTTACCCATCCTGGCTGATAGCCATTAATGGACTTAGCCTCCATGAATTTACCTTGATACAGACATAAAACCATATATTTAGTTTTTAAACATAATGCCTTATATAGTGGCTGTACATACATTTCACAACAATATTAATGATCATTGTGACCCCAACTTCCATTTAAGATGTCACATGATGTTCTTTGATAAACTGGAATGTACAAACTAGAATCAAGATATTCCTGTAGCCCTCTTGCCAGTAGGCATTTAAGTGTTCTTGGGTCACAGTCAGCCAGGTTTAATCTCCCTCCATTAAAATCTGTGTCCAGTTTCCCACCTCTAGTGACCCAGGTGACCTCAGTCTTAGTCATGTTTCAGAGGAACAGCCGTGTTAGTCTGTATTCGCAAAAAGAAAAGGAGTACTTGTGGCACCTTAGAGACTAACCAATTTATTTGAGCATGAGCTTTCGTGAGCTACAGCTCACTTCATCAGATGTATACCGTGGAAACTGCAGCAGACTTTATATACACACAGAGAATATGAAACAATACCTCCTCCCACCCCACTGTCCTGCTGGTAATAGCTTATCTAAAGTGATCAACAGGTGGGCCATTTCCAGCACAAATCCAGGTTTTCTCACCCTCCACCCCCCCCACACAAATTCACTCTCCTGCTGGTGCTGGTGCCAGCAGGAGAGTGAATTTGTGTGGGGGGGTGGAGGGTGAGAAAACCTGGCTTTGTGCTGGAAATGGCCCACCTGTTGATCACTTTAGATAAGCTATTACCAGCAGGACAGTGGGGTGGGAGGAGGTATTGTTTCATATTCTCTGTGTGTATATAAAGTCTGCTGCAGTTTCCACGGTATACATCTGATGAAGTGAGCTGTAGCTCACGAAAGCTCATGCTCAAATAAATTGGTTAGTCTTAGTCATGTTCATTTCCATCCCAGGCCAGCTTTCCTATTTCCTCTGACTTCTTTTGAGGATGTCTTTATTACTATGTTGTCTCCATATAGCAGCTGCTCACCTTTTCTCATTGGTGGCTTCCTGCTGATATAGTCCATCAGTATGATAAACTGCAGTCGACTCCTGGTCCAGTCCAGCTTTCATCTCAGTGGGACTTGTTATCATTCCCAAGCAGGTTTGGATCACTGTTTTAGGTGAACTGTACAGGTCCTTCACCATAGTTGTTAAATCTTCAGACACTCCATATTTCCTCAGCTAGTGTGCGCGTCCTTCTGTCCACTTTTGCACTGGCAAGAGCGTATGGCGTCCCTGACATGCAGCGCACGGAGCCTTTCCCCAGTTATGCTAAGTACATGCCCACTCTCTCCCCATCTGCTTGCTGTAGACCTTCTGAAACACCAACAGGAGGTATTGGTGTGTCACTGCCCAGCACCAAACTTCATTTAACCTATGGATGGGGGTTTGAGATTGGAGTTTTCCTTCTCCTAGGTAGGCTGCTGTCCTGGGCTAAAGGGCCCCACCTGCCTATCTGCATAGCAATATTAGTGTCGGAACTGTATTTTGAAGATGTACGTGCTTATTAGTTTCAGAGTAGCAGCTGTGTTAGTCTGTATTCACAAAAAGAAAAAGAGTCTTTGTGGCACCTTAGAGACTAACCAATTTATTTTGAAGTGAGCTGTAGCTCACGAAAGCTTATGCTCAAATAAATTGGTTAGTCTCTAAGGTGCCACAAGTACTCCTTTTCTTTTTGTGCTTATTAGTATGAAAGTTACTTCCATTGCACACCTGCTTTTTAAGTACACTTATTTCTCATGCTTGCTCTCAGCCAAGACAGCAGGTTAATATTCCTTTCTGACTTTTTGGAGAGATCCCACCTTCATCTGAAGTATGGTTCCTCTCTGAATACATTTATACATTTATCTTTGAAAATTCGTGGCGAACAGGGGAAGTCCCGGATGACTGGAAAAAGGCTAATGTAGTGCCAATCTTTAAAAAAGGGAAGAAGGAGGATCCTGGGAATTACAGGCCAGTAAGCCTCACTTCAGTCCCCGGAAAAATCATGGAGCAGGTCCTCAAAGAATCAATCCTGAAGCACTTACATGAGAGGAAAGTGATCAGGAACAGTCAGCATGGATTCACCAAGGGAAGGTCATGCCTGACTAATCTAATCGCCTTCTATGATGAGATTACTGGTTCTGTGGATGAAGGGAAAGCAGTGGATGTATTGTATCTTGACTTTAGCAAAGCTTTTGACACGGTCTCCCACAGTATTCTTGTCAGCAAGTTAAGGAAGTATGGGCTGGAAGAATGCACTATAAGGTGGGTAGAAAGCTGGCTAGATTGTCGGGCTCAACGGGTAGTGATCAATGGCTCCATGTCTAGTTGGCAGCCGGTATCAAGTGGAGTGCCCCAAGGGTTGGTCCTAGGGCCGGTTTTGTTCAATATCTTCATAAATGATCTGGAGGATGGTGTGGATTGCACTCTCAGCAAATTTGCGGATGATACTAAACTGGGAGGAGTGGTAGATACGCTGGAGGGCAGGGATAGGATACAGAGGGACCTAGACAAATTGGAGGATTGGGCGAAAAGAAATCTGATGAGGTTCAATAAGGATAAGTGCAGGGTCCTGCACTTAGGACGGAAGAACCCAATGCACAGCTACAGACTAGTGACCGAATGGCTAGGCAGCAGTTCTGCGGAAAAGGACCTAGGGGTGACAGTGGACGAGAAGCTGGATATGAGCCAGCAGTGTGCCCTTGTTGCCAAGAAGGCCAATGGCATTTTGGGATGTATAAGTAGGGGCATAGCGAGCAGATCGAGGGACGTGATCGTCCCCCTCTATTCGACATTGGTGAGGCCTCATCTGGAGTACTGTGTCCAGTTTTGGGCCCCACACTTCAAGAAGGATGTGGATAAATTGGAGAGAGTCCAGCGAAGGGCAACAGAAATGATTAGGGGTCTGGAACACATGAGTTATGAGGAGAGGCTGAGGGAACTGGGATTGTTTAGTCTGCAGAAGAGAAGAATGAGGGGGGATTTGATAGCTGCTTTCAACTACCTGAGAGGTGGTTCCAGAGAGGATGGTTCTAGACTATTCTCATTGGTGGAAGAGGACAGGACAAGGAGTAATGGTCTCAAGTTGCAGTGGGGGAGGTTTAGGTTGGATATTAGGAAAAACTTTTTCACTAGGAGTGTGGTGAAACACTGGAATGCGTTGCCTAGGGAGGTGGTGGAATTTCCTTCCTTAGAAGTTTTTAAGGTCAGGCTTGACAAAGCCCTGGCTGGGATGATTTAATTGGGGATGGGTCCTGCTTTTGAGCAGGGGGTTGGACTAGATGACCTCCTGAGGTCCCTTCCAACCCTGATATTCTATGATTCTCTGAAAAGCATCTATTTAAAAATGGCACCACCTTGCTCACCAGATGCGCTGGTGTTAGCAATAGAAATACATTTATCCTCTTTTTACTCCTGTTAGCCTGCAGAGGCAATGAGCTGCATTCTGTTCCTTTGTGTATCATCAACAGAATTGGTTACTGAATTCCAGCCAGCTACACCTGTGCAGACCCACTGAAGGCAATGGGATTAATTGATTCCAAGGCCAGAAGGGACCACTGTGATCATCTAGTTCGACCTCCTGCATAGCACAGGCCATAAAACTTCCCCACAATAATTCCTAGAGCAGATCTGTTAGAAAAACATCCAGTCTTGATTTTAAAAATTGTCATGGTGGATTCTCCATCGCTGGCCCTTGGTAAATTGTTCCGATGATTAATTACTGTCACTTAAAAATATACGCCTTATTTCCAGTCTGAATTTGTCTAGCTTCAACTTTCAGCCATTGGATCGTATTAGACCTTTCTCTGCTAGACTGTAGAGCCCATTAGTAAATATTTGTTCCCCATGTTGATTCTTATAGATTGTAAGCATGTCACCCTTAATCTTCTCTTTGTTAAGCTAAATAGATAGACTCAAAGAGATCAGTCTCTGTAAAGTATGTTTTCTAATCCTTTAATCATTCTCTTGGCTCTTCTCTGATCCCTCTCCAGTTTATCAACATCCTTCTTGCACTCTGGGCATCAGAACTGGACACAGGATCCAAGCAGTGGTTGCACCAGTGCCAAATAGAGGTAAAATCACCTCTCTGCTCCTACTCGAGATTCTCCTGTTTATGCATCCCAGGATCGCATTAGCTCTTTTGGCCACAGCATCACACTGGGAGCTCCTGTTCAGCTGATTCTCCACCAGGACCCCAAAATCTTTTTTCAGGGTCACTGCTTCCCAGGATAGACTCCCCCATCCTGTAAGTGTGGCCTACATTCTTTGTTCCTAGATGTAGACATGCAGCCATATTAAAACATGTTGTTTGCTTGCACCCCAGTTTCCCAAACACTCCAGATAGCTCTGAATCAGTGGCCTGTTCTCTTCATTATTTACCACTCGCCCAATTTTTGTGCTGTCTGCAAACTTGATCAGTGATGTTTTAAAGTTCCCCCCGCAGTCATAGATAAAAATGTTAAATAGAGTTGGGCCAAGAACCGATTCCCATGAGATCCCACTGGAAACACACCTGCTCAATGATGATTCCCTGTTTAGTTACTTTTTGAGACCTGTCAGCCAGTTTTTAATCCATTTAATATGTGACATGTCAGTTCTGGTTTTGTAATCAAAATGTCGTGTGGTACCAAGTCAAATGCCTTTATTACCCTGATCAGCCAAACGTGTAATTTCTTTAAAAAAAAAAAAAAGATACCAGGTTAGTTTGACAGGATCTGTTTTCCATAAGCCCATGTTAATTTGCATTAATTACCTTAACTTTCTTTAATTCTTTATAAATTGAGTTCTGTGTCAGCCACTCCATTATCTTGCCCAGGATTGATGTAAGACTGGCAGGCCAATAATTAACTGGGTTGTTACATTTACCCTTTTTAAAAATAGGCACAACCTTAGCTTTCTTCCAGTCGTCTGGAATTTCCCCAGTGCTACAAGACTTATTGAGAATTAACATTAATAATCCAATGAGCACCTCAGCCAGCTCTTTTAAAACTCTTGAATGCAAGTTAATTGGACCTGCTGATTTAAAAATGTCTAACTTCAGTAGCTTTTGTTTAACACCTTCCAGAGATATTAGTGGAATGGAAAGAGTGTTATCACCATATGATAAGACGATATCATCTGTTTTTTCCCCAAATATGGAATAGAAATATATATTGAACATTTCTGCCTTTTCTGCATTATTATTGATGATTCTACCGTTTCCATCTAGTAATGGACCAGTACCACTATCAGGACTCTTTTTGCTTCTAATATATTAAAAAAACCTCATTATTGTCCTTAATTCTGCTGGCCATTGATTTCTGCTTGTGTGTCTTGGCTTCCCTTATCAATTTTCTACAATTCCTAACTTCTGTTTTATATTAATTGGTATCAACTTCTGATTTCCTCCATTTCTTATATATTATTTTTTATTTTTTTACCGCTACCTTCGCTTCCCGTCTTAACCCAGGTTGTTTTTTTACCCAGCACAGACTTCTTCCTCAATTGTGGGAGAGTGGCTTTTTCTTCATCTAGTAAGGTGTTCTTAAATGATTCCCAGTTATTCACATTTTTCGGATTATATTCTTTCTCCCAGCTGATTCGGCTCATAATTGTTTTCAGCTTTGTGAAATTAACCCGATTTAAAGAACCGTGTGTGTATATATATATATATATAGTGCTTGTCTGAACTTTATTCTGCTTGCACATTGTAAGTGTGACCAAGCCATGATCATTCGTACCTAAGCTCCCATTAATTTTCAGTTATGTGATCAGTTCTGGGATCATACAGGGCTTAATATAAAGACAACGGGGGTCATGATGGTGTCACAGAGGGCCTAATTTGTAGATAGTGGAGTTGCACAGGTGTCACTGTGGGCTTAATTTGGCCTGCAGAATCTTTATTATGCGTCATGACTTGCGCAGTGGAAAGAATCCAGCCTCACAGACTGGGGTGGGGGGAAACATGAAGGGCTGTGGGTTAGAAAAAACATTGTTTTACTTGTGGCACCTTAGAGACTAACCAATTTATTTGAGCATAATAAATTGATTAGTCTCTAAGGTGCCACAAGTACTCCTTTTCTTTTTGCGAATACAGACTAACACGGCTGTTACTCTGAAACCTGTCATTGTTTTACTTGCAAACTGGGCACATTTGCAGTGGAATTATTGAGAGGTGACCGATCTGGAGCCTCACAATGGGACCTCGACAAAGTCACTTTTCATGACAGCTCTGTGCTTCATAATGCAGGGGCTAGTTTTGTATTTGCACAACTGCAAAATAAGTTTAAAAACAAACCATGCTTGGTATGGACCTAGCAGTCAGTGCTTGGTGCTAGGAAGCTTTCACTAGACTTGAAATCATTTGTGTGGGTGAGCCCAGCCTTCCTAGCAGTGACAGGTTGAAAGACATTGGACTTTAAAGCGAGTATCAACTAAGTCCATGATTTTCAGTGTATTTGTTGCCATTGAATATTAACTCTATAAAACAAGTCCTGGATTTTGGACTAATGTAGAGTTCATACCCTGCAGTGTCTTTCCCAGCTCTCAGAGTAGCAGCCGTGTTAGTCTGTATTTGCAAAAAGAAAAGGAGGACTTGTGGCACCTTAGAGACTAACCAATTTGTTTGAGCATATTTTTTTCCACTGAATGCATCCGATGAAGTGAGCTGTAGCTCACGAAAGCTTATGCTCAAATAAATTGGTTAGTCTCTAAGGTGCCACAAGTCCTCCTTTTCTTTTTCCCAGCTCTGAAAACCAGTTTGACGCTGCAGTAGTGAACAAGAATGTGGTTATTGAGCATTGCATGCTAAAAAAAGTGCAATGGGTTATTTCTAGGACTGTGTACTGGGATGCGTAGCTGTGTGTGTGTGTGTGCGATTGCTCGCAAACCCAAAAATATTCAGGTTTGTTAGATAAGGAAACAAATTCAAAGCAATGCTAATGCAACGTTGACGTTGCGATGTACATACCAAAGTCTGGAAATGGAAAGATATGGATCGGCCAGTAACCACAGGTTGGATACATGGAGTTCAGAGTTGTTATAGTTAAAACCATATACAGTAATATTATTTTTGCCATTACAAGAGACATACTCTATACAATAAAGCAAAGTGTTTGTGAGGGGGCTGAATTACGGCTGTTGTGGAAATCATAGTTTTAGCTGGCCAGGTTTTGTGATCAAAGCCCCACCGTAACGTTGTTAAGGTTTTTGCTTGCAATTTCTGTGGGTATTTTAGTGACAAGTTACTAATAGTGTGTTCATTTGTACGTCACAGGTTTGGTTTGCAGAACTCTGCTGTGGATTCTCAAATGAAATTAGTGATAGATGTGCTAAGCCTGCGTTTCAGAGGAACAGCCGTGTTAGTCTGTATTCGCAAAAGGAAAAGGAGGACTTGTGGCACCTTAGAGACTAACCAATTTATTTGACCATAAGCTTTCGTGAGCTACAGCTCACTTCATCGGATGCATACTGTGGAAAAATGCATCCGATGAAGTGAGCTGTAGCTCACGAAAGCTTATGGTCAAATAAATTGGTTAGTCTCTAAGGTGCCACAAGTACTCCTTTTCATTAAGCCTGCGTTCTGCTTGGATGCACATTCAGCGCCAGATCATCCTGAGCCCAGTGTTGGCAGTGGGTAAACTTTGTAGTGCAGGCAAGGCTTTTATGCATGAACACTTAACTGCCATGGCATTTATGACTCCACTTTCATGATGCCATGTCTCTTTAGTCCCAGATGAAGTGTCCTGAAGCTTTTGCTGTTGTGACGTTAGTGACTTGAACTGGGACCACATAGAACATTGTTGCAACCAAGGTCCTGCAGTGGCACCAAATCTTGTATAAAGGGGGTCAAATAAGGTGTCTAAGATGAGGTTATGGTTTGCTGGTTAGGATTATGCGATCTGTTTGCATATATCTTTAAATACAAAAATGATACAAGTATTGGCTCTGTACTGTCTGTTTTTCAAACTTATGCTCTGCTTCTGGGTGACACCCCAGACAAGTTGGTGTCAACTTTGCCTAGCCTGCTTGATGGCCCATTAAGGACCATCAGCTACACAACTGACCCATTGAGAGAAGGCAGACACGCCTTGCGACTCAGCAAGGTGTGCAGGGACCTGCCTATGGACAAAACTCTGAGGTTTTCCCAGACCATGTGAGTGACAGCTTGTCCTTGGGACAAAGAAAGAAAGACCACATGGCAAGAGACTATAAAAACCTGCTGCACCTCCTCCATCTTGTCTTCAATCCTGCTTCTGACCTCTGGAGGGACTTTGCTGCACTAAAGCTTTGAACCAAGGACTGAAAGACCCACCCCAGCTGGGGATGTTCTCCAGAGACTTGATTTGAACCTGCCGTTTATTCCATCACTGCTACAAACCTGAACCAAGAAGTTGGCCGTCACTGTATGTCATTGATTCCATTTAACCACTTCTAGCTCTCATCTTTATCTTTTTCCTTTTATGAATAAAGCTTTAGATTTTAGATTCTAAAGGATTGGCAACAGCATGATTTGTGGGTAAGATCTGATTTGTATATTGACCTGGATCTGGAGCTTGGTCCTTTGGGATCAAGAGAACCTTTTCTCTTTTACTGGGGTATTGGTTTTCATAACTATCTGTCCCCATAACGAGTGGCACTGGTGGGGGATACTGGGAAACTGGAGCGTCTAAGGGAATTGCTTGTGTGACTTGTGGTTAGCCAGTGTAGTAAAACCAAAGTCTTCTCTGTTTGGCTGGTTTGGTTTGCCTTGGTGTGCGTAGAAACCCCAGCCATTGGCACTCTCAGTTGGGTCCCGCCAGAACCAGCCTCGTTACAGCTGTGCAGTGAAGTGGCTGGTGTACTAAACATTCCCATGCAGCTCTTTCTCAGCTCTGTGGGGTAGATCTCCTGGGCACTCAGCTGCAGCTGCATGTTAATAGAATTGTCCCTGTGAACTCAGGAGTATGAAAACGTGTCGATGCCTTTACATCAGTAATCTGTTTGAAGGAATAGCTCTGTTAACTACAGCCAGTTAGTCCCATTGTTTAAAAAGTCTGCTAATTCAGCATCTCTATCGTGTATAAAAGTTTTCAACAACAAGATTATAGGAATG